TCCAGACTCAGGGTGTTGACTGTTTTCTTTCCCCTCTGAGCTTTGGGCGTCACCTCGACATGTCAGTAAGGATCTAACAATTTGTAACCTAAGAAAATGTGTCGCCACCCTTATTGTAGATGCCTAGGAGTCAATGCTAGCTCATGAGGAGTCTATGAACTGATATGAACTTGGTCCTGTCCTGCCTCATCCTCACAGTCTCCACCAAGTTCAAGCATTGTCATTTCATCTCCTTTCCTGACCTTCTCCTTTGTGTCTTTTCCCCAAGGACTGGCACCTCTTGATATCATATCTAAAGTCTGTGAGATGACGTTTCACAATTCTTTCCTTTAAGGAACACCTTGGCTATAGCTCTGGTGTCTTCTTTTAGTTTTTATTTATTTCTTTTAAGCCTCCCCAAAGCACCTATACTTTCTAGCTCCACAGCCAAGTGTTGAAATGCACTTCTGGAAGACAGGAGCATTTTGTTACTGCCAGGATATCTCCTCCCTGAAGGGATCCATGTCTCTGGTCCATAGGCTGGCTTACTTGCCATCTTTTGTCTGTCTTTTATGTCTGTGTGAGTATGCTGGTGCTTTCTGACACTGCCACATTTCTGCCTTAGCTTCCTCTCATCTGTGCCAAGATCCTCCTCCTTTTCTTCTAAGCCTTCATCAGAATTGCCTTTTGGAGGAAGAATGTTTTCTCAAGCCAGATCACTCTCTCATGAAACCTGATAATGACTAAGACGATTAGACCAGAGACCAGACCAGACAATGGATCCTGATAAGGCTCTGGGCCTAATCACAAAAGCTCATACCCAACTTAATTAACAGCCCCCAATTCTGAGCAGAATACCATCTTCCCTACTTCTCCCTAAAATCCCTATAAAATGACTGCCCTCATGCCATTTTGACCTTTTCAGCACTTGGTGTCCATCTCAGACCACGTAATAGAGACCTGTTCATTTCTTGGGACCAGCTCTTTCTTTTCCTTTCCTTCCTTCCTTCCTTCCTTCCTTCCTCCCTCCCTCCCTCCCTCCCTCTCTCTCTCTCTCCCCCCAACTCTTTTTTCTGTCACCTTTGATGGCTATAATTCCAATCCTTGATCTAATGCATGTGAAAATGATGAACCACACTTACAGCCTTTGTTATATCTGAAATATTGCATCTTTCCAGAAGGAAGCAACAGGAAAATGCATGCAATGGATATGGAAAATACTGCTCAGTTAACCCAATGGAGGGTTTCTATGAGTCAGAAATGACTCAGCAATACTAAGTTTAAATGTCATGCTTTACCTTCTAAAGACAAATTTAAATTCATCTAAGGAAACTGATCATGAAACGCAGTATTAATGAAAAAAATAAAAAAGAGTGATACGCAACTTAGATCTGAACTGTTTTATGATGGAGTTGTTACAACAGAACCTGCCATAAATTGTTATTGTTGTTGTTTATTACTGTAGAGTTCAAATCAACTTATAGCTGACCATCTGGCAGGTTTTCAGAGGTAGTTAAAGGCATGAGAGGAGATTGTCCGTCCTGCCACAGAGCAGCTGGTGGCCTCAAACCATGTGCCTTCGGGACTGCAGGGCAGGTTTTAGACACTAGGCCACTGGGACTATCAATATGAAGCACCTCTAAATGTCAGGAGACTAAAGTTAGTAGTAACTGCTAACATATATTTAAAAGTTTCTGGGTGGCACGGAGTTAAGTTTTTAGTCATTAGCCAAAAAACTGATGATTCACACCCATCAAAAGGTGTCTCAGAAGATAGGTTTGCTGATCTGCTTCCAAAAATCCACAGCTTTGAAAACTACAGAGCCTTTCTATTCTGTGTACACAGGGTCATTGTGAGTTGGGATCAATTTGATGGCAATTAATAATAGCAGTAGTTATCAGCAGAGAATTGTCAAATGCGCAAGTGGGGTTTAGAAGAGGTCATGGAACTAACATTCGACAGTGGATCATTATGAGTGGCAGGCAACTCAATGGTATATCACAACAACAACAACAACAACAACAACAACAACAACAACATGTTAAGGAATGTACATATAATGTTGTTATTGTATACCTGCAAGCCAGACCTAACTCATAGTTGACCCTCCATTAGGTAGACCATAATGAGGTGCTATTTTAATGTTTCTTGTGCAGATAAGGACACTCAAGGAAACGGAGTAACTTGACCAAGAACGCACAGCTAATAAGTGGTACAGATTAGATTTGAGTCTAGGTAGGGTGGACTTGGGGTCAAACTGCCCAGAGTCCATGTTGGACTTAAGTATTATGTAGTCAAGTTTCCGCCCACAAAGAGCTTACAGAGTATTACAAGTATGTTGACTCTTATTTATTTTACGATTCTAAATATCTCACCAAATACCTACCAAATTTCCATAAACAAGTAGTATATGTGGTTACTTCAGCAAGAGATTGGTTTAAAGCCTATCACGGCATTGACTGAAAATTTTGTAATTTTACCAAAGGAAAGAACAGATCATGAATTTTGGGGAAAACTCTCAAAATGTTTTTCTTTGAGATTTAGCACTAAACCCAAATCCTCTGCTGTCTGCTGTTGAATGAGTTCCAACTTGTAGCAACCCTTCATGACTTTCTGTGGCTGTAAATCTTTACGAGAGGTGAAGACTGTTCATCTTTCCACTGCAGAACAGGTGGTGGATTCGAACACCAACCTTTTGGTTCACAGTCTGGTGTGTTACACACTACAGGGCCAGAGCTCCTCTTTGAAACCTAAAGGCTGGCAAAATACGGATAATAGTTTCTTATAAATTTCCCTAAATTTCCTACTCCTTGTTTGTCATAGATATTCTAGGATTATTTTACTTAATGTAAAATGAACCTAGTAAAAAAGCTACATTGAAAATGAAGGAATAGTTTCCAAGTCTGGTTGTTTTCCAAAGCATCTTGGAAACTTGCTGTCGTTTTTTTAAATTTATTATTAGTACCCACTATTTCCTTCACATTCACTGGAATGTTTTACTCTATAGCAACACTACTTTAACAGATCTGAGGGGCAGATGCTATTTCATTCCCACTTCTGCCAGGCTATCAGGATAGAAGTATTTGATAGGTGATCCCTCTCCAACCTTGAATTTACAGAGACCACAATGAGCAGGCCCTGTACTTTGGTATGGATGTTAGAAACTACAACCCTGAAAGGTTGAGGAATGCTGAAACTGAAGTATAGATGACAGCAGTAATGATACATGTAAAGACACCCAGGGCTATCTCAAAAGCAGGCCCTGTAGATTAGTTCTAAGAAAAATGAGAAAAGCAGATAAAAATGTTCACTTCTGTTCTGAGTGGCAGATAATTGTGTGAAAATATATGTAGATAAGAGCAATGTTCTTTCTCCTGAATAAAAACAAGTCACAGCATTTGCCACAGAAAGATTGTTTTGTGAAATGACTGTTGGTGCCAAAATATGATGGTAGAGATCAAATTAGCCCCAGGGTTTTCTGAAAAAGACAACACTTTGGTATAGTCGCAGCTCTAATTTCTCTTGCCTTAGTTCATTTCTCATAGTCTCATCAGATTTTTTCAATTGTTAAGCTATTTATTGCTTGTCTTCTTACGAACATCGAAGGACTTGTCATGACCCACAGGATAAAAGTTTCAAAGTCCCCAGAATTCAAGACTCTACAATCTGGCCACATCGCAAGCCTGCAGTCCTGATCAATCCCTCCACTTTCCACTCCTAGCCTTTCTTTCTATCCCTCGCAGTTTACACTTCAACCACCTAAACCTTTAGAACCCAAGAGACACCAGGCTATTTCATCTCCTTATAATTTAGCATATGATGCTTCGAAAGGCTCCCTCTCCTTTTACTGAACCCCGCCCCTCCAAGCCCAGGGGTTCTCCACTGTGAAACCTTTTCTCACTATTCTCACAATGACTGAGCAGCTAGCTTCCAGCACTGAGCTGCCACTACCTGTTGCTTCACCATCTTGTTAGTGCTCATGACTTTTGAGCATAAACAAATATTTGTACATGATTCTATTTCTCATTAGATTTAAAATTCTCCTGGGATAATGATTTTTGCCTTACAGATTCTGTACTCACAGGAATTCTTTACTTATCACAGTTCCTGGAGCATAGAAGATAATGAAATAGAAAATGAATGAATCCCTCTTCCTTCCCACTTTCTGTATTCATTAGCCATGTGATGACTACGGTTAAAAGAAAAGTTTAAGAAAAATCCTCTATTTTGTGTTATCCCCTCCAGTAAAGGCTTTATATCTGTGTCTAGAGCTCCCTGCAGAAAGTGTCATTGTAAACTAGTCATGGTTAGAGTAGTGCATTATGAGTTGGGTTGCTAACGGAAAGGTCAGAGGGTCGAATCCACCAAATGATCTTCAGTAGAAAGATGGACAGGCCCCTCCTGAAAAGATTTATAGCCTTGAAAATGGAATGAAAAAACCCCAATAATACAAACAAAATAATGGGTGTTTATGAATGATTCTATGAAATAAAGATTGTATAAAACACAATGTATATGAATGAAACAATGTAATTATTATGTGAAAACCAGTAATTTTTTGTTTTAAAGAAAATTGAATAGAGAGGGCCTCTCTAATCAGGATTGACTTGATGCACTGGGTTTGGTTCTTCGCACAGTGTCACTGCAAAAGCACATTTTGCTAGAACTCTCCCTCTCTCATTGATGTCAAGTTGGAACTGACAGCAAGTTGACCCTCCCACAGGCTTCCAAGGCTACAAATCACAAGGAAGGAAATTGTTCATCTTTCTCATGAAGCCTCTGGTAGATTTGCACCACCAGGGAGTCAGTGACTTCGAGTCAGCAGCACAACCCCCTATAGACTACGGCTCCAGAGCATCCTCTTCCTAGAGAAAATTGAGAAGAAATGAAGCAATAAAGTGAGGTTTTTTCCTAATCTGTCAGTCTGTCACTATGTTTTTGGCCTTCCACCGCAATCACCCAGGGCTTCACAGAAATAGAACTTGACACAAGAGTAGTCCTGTGAATCAACAAGAGAGGATTCAATTTAGAGCAGAAGTACCTTTTAGCAGCTGACAGTTATATGTGCTTAGATTCCCGGCTGACTGCAATTCCAACCAACTTCCTCTTGGATGGTTGCTTATATTTACGACTTCAAACAACTCGTAAGGTGGGACCAGGATCTCCTTCCTGAGGGAGAAGTCTTCTACAGGTACACCCAGGCAAGTAGAAATGGCAAATACGGTTTGGTTCCCAAATGTCTGTGTCTTTTCCCTCAAGAGTGAGGCAGAGAGAAACTGACCAAATCGAATGACGGCACCTGGATGGGCTTTAAAGTAGGCATCCTCTGCTCCATGGTACGCCTTGTAACATCGCGTGCCATTCTTCCTGGCGATTTCTTGCCTTAGCAGTTGGATTGCTGAGGTCAGGTAGTAATGGAGGTATTTGAAATGGAACGAATGATTGTACTGCCACGTGGATCTGCCAGCACTGCGCGTGGCGTTAATGAAGTCGGAGCTAATGTTGCTGTTCAAAGTGTAAAGCACAATGGCCACAGCATGAGCAGTTGTCATGTCCTTGGGGAGAGTTTTTGCTTGGCTCAGCCAGGTTAAGTGCGCTCTGTGCCAGGAATTGGAATAACCCTTACGGCTTTTTAATTCGTTTGTGAAATAATCCCCTTGATTGAGCTTCTCCATGACCTGTTTGCTACAGCCTTGATACCGGTCATCAAAGGAACCTGGTGCCAAGTCAAAGTCAATCTTAGTTTCAACCTACAAGGAAAGAAAACACCTTAGTTTTAATTTTTCGATTCAGATGATGAGTGTGGTAGCAAATATGTTGTCAGATGAGGCCAAGTCTTCTCCTCAAACCAACATTTGCTCAAGTTTAGTCATAATCATTATATTGCCCGGGACTTCCTGTGTCAATGAAGTCTGGTAAAGATCAAATTTCAGTTTGACAAATATGACTGAAAGCAGAAAAGAATTTGTCACCCCAGGGAAAACATCTTTCTTTTTATGTCACTGAAATTACATATTTTCATATTGTTATTCCTTTGGAGAAAAAAAGAAGTAGCAATCTTATATTTCCCATTTTGTACTGTTCATTCATGAAAGTGTAAAATCTAAATTTGATACATACGTGGTAAAGAGCTTTATTTGAGTAAAGAATATCCTTCATAAAATTTAAATAATGAACAGTGTCATGCTTTTGTGTGGGACCACCAATAAATAAGAACCCTTTTCAGTTTCTGAAACTGTTGAAAGTTGGGAAGGCATTAGAGAGAGTAGTAATGAAAGCCAAAATATTATCTTTATTTCTAAGCCCAAGTTTGAGAACAAGATGAATGAGGCCGACACGCCCACTCAGTGGCACGTGGGACTGGATTGGGGCGGGGGTTCTGCCCAGGTAAATCTTATTGGTGAACAGAGTTAATTTCCTTGCTTTAAGGGCACTCCCAGGAGGTGGAAGAGCACAGCCAAACTCAGCATACCTGGTTCTTCTTCCCAAAGTCACCAATTAAATCAGTATGTCTGCCTTCTGCTCTGGGAGCGGAGTGAGTAAAGAAGCCCAGAGGTCAGGCAAGTATCTCCTCTTGGAAACCAGGAGTGGAAAAAGACATTTTTTTTCTCTTCATTGCTTTTGGGTTGGGGCTGACTCATAGCTGACTCCCTCACAGGTTTCTGAGGTGATTAATTGCACAGGAGGAGAATGCCTATTTTTCTCCATGGAATTACTTATACGTTTTGAACCACCAGAGAGGTGCCACTTCTACATTAATGCCCAACTCCCTGTGGATTCCACCACCAGAGACTCCACTTATCTCCAATAAAATTTACTTAGACAGCTAACTAAAATTACTTACTGAAATTTCAAACCAAACAACCCAATTGGTACTGCCATAAAATTGATTACAACTCATAGTGACCTTCCCTACGTTCCAAAGTTGTGAATCTTTAAGGGAGACTGTTTCTCTAAAGGAGCAGCTGGTGGATTTGAACTACCAATCTTTGCTTTAGCAGTGCAACACATGGTTGTGTGCTACCAAAGTCCTTTAGCAACCTTTAGAGCAGAGTTAACTGACCAGTATGGTTCCTAAGGGTGCAGATCTTTACAGAAGCAGATGCTACATTCATTGTTCTTCCACAGAATGTCTGGTGGGTTTGAACTACCAACCTTTAGGTTAGTAGCTGAATATTTTATCCCTTGTGCCACCAGTCTCTTATTGAGACTTGAACCCCAAACCAAACCCACTGCCATCAAGTTGATTCTGACTCATGCTGGCCTTATGGGTCAGAGTACAATGACCTCATTGAGTTTTCAAGGCTGTAAAATTTATTTTTATTTAATTTTATTATTTTTTGTGTGTGTGTACCGTCAAATTGGATCTGACTGGTACAGGAGGAGATTGTCCCTCCTTCTCCAGCAAAGCATCTGGTGACCGTGCACCTCTGGGATTGCAGTGCAGTTTCTTGCCACTAGAGCTCCCTAAAGCTATAAATTTTTACAAGGACAGACTCTATAGTCTTTCTTTTACAGAGCAGCTGAAGGGTTTGAACCACCAATCTTTTGGCTAGCAGACAAATGCCTTAATCACACTACCACTAGAGAGCCTTATTGATATCTGTTGTTATATGTCCAGCCAGAGTCAACTCAGTTGACTCTCCAATGTGTGTTCAGTGGTTCTAAATCTTGTGGGGGGAGATTGACCATCTTTCTCCCATGGAGTAGCTAGTGGATTTGAACCACCTGCTTTTGGGCTGGCAGGGAAACTCCTTACCAGAGCTCCCTATCTAGTGACAACTGAATGCACATTATTTTTTTTTTTAACTTTTTATTGCTATTTGAGTCAAGTGTACAGAGCAAATTGATTTTTCACTTAGCAATTCATACACATTTTATTTTTTGACAGTGATTATAATCCCATAATAAAACAGCACTATTCCTACTTCATTTCTATCTTTCTGGTATCCATGCTTCCCTCTTTCTATCTCTTCTTGCTTCCTGACCTTTATCCCCAGGCAAATGCTTCCCTTTTGGTCTTATATGGTTGTTTGTTTTAAGAAGTGCATTCCTGGCGAGCTCTGGTGGCCTAGTGGCAGGAAACTGCACTGCAATCCCAGAGGTGCGCGGTTCAAATCCACCAGATGCTCTGCTGAAGAAGGAGGAACAGTCGCCTCCTGTACCAGTCAGATCCAATTTGACGATACACACATAAAAAAAAAAAATAAATAAAATAAAAAAAAGAAGTGCATTCCTGTATCATTACTTTCTGTTGTTGTTGTTAGGTATGTTGAGTCATTTATGACTGTCCTATGAAGATAGATCTGAACTTTGCCCTAGCCTGTGTCCTCACAATCACTGTCATGCTCATGCCTATTGTTACAGTCCCTAGTCAGCCCACCTCATTCAGAGCCTTCCTCCTCTTGTCTAACTCACCACTTTTCCCAGCATAATGTCTTTCCCCAAAGACTGGCCCCTGCTGACAACCTGCCCAGAGTGTGTGAGACAAAGCTTTCCCATCCTTGTCTCTAAGCAGCTGTTTGGGTGGTTGCACTTTCTCCAGGACAGACTTGCTTGTCCTTTGGCAGTCCACGGGATAGGTGAGCACTCTTCTCTAACACCAAAATTCAAAGGCATCAATTCTTATGTCACCCTTATTCCCTGTTCAACTTTCAGATGCATAGAAAGCAATGGAAAATACCTTTTCACCTTTTAGGTCTCTCTGTTTATTGGGATCTACCAGCTGCTTTGCAGGAGAAGGATGGGCAATTTCCCCCCATGCAATTAACTGCCTCTGAAAACCTGCTGGAGGGTCATCTACAGGTCATTTCTGAATCAGTGGTAAACAACAACCTTGATTGGTTTAAAGCGGGGTCATGGAAAGGATTTCAGTCTCAGACTTGAAAGGTGACTAAGAGCCATAGTCTCAGGGTTCTGCCAAGCATATTAATTTGAAGTTAGAAATTTAAATCCTTCATCAAACATCCTAACTTTATCATTTAGACCCAAATTTGAATTCTCTGGACACCTAAGATGTTTATTTCCTGGCAGAGAAATGATATTTTTAAAACAATATTCAGTAAGGGGATAGATTAAGGGAGAGAAGGCTACTGTTAATGCCAAGAACGTTGGAGCAGTAACTCAACAAATGTGCCATGGAATTTTCACTGTGCTATTTACGATGTCATTTAATTATGGGTAATCTGGAACACATGTTTATGCGTAGACTGGTTTTCTTTGTTCCCTAGTATGCTTCTGGGCTTTTCCCTCTGTAAATGTGTTTAGTCAGGAAAAGCCAAGATTTGAATGTCATTGCAGTTATCATTAATCATAGATTATTTTGCTCAATATATACCTATTAGACATTTCCTATGTTTAAGGAGCTCTGGTGGTGTGTACTGGGTTGCTAACAGAAACGTCAATGGTTCCAATCCAGCAGATGGGGATGAGAGAGAGATTTGTAGTTTTCTCAATATCAGCAGTTAAAAGCAGGTGAAGTGCTGACTGTGGAACAGATCATCAATTCCTCATGTGCAAGTATAAATTGAAGTGGAAGAAAATGAAAACAAGCCCACAAGAACCAAAATATAATAACTTTGAATCTATCCCACTTGAATTTAACAATGATCTCAAGAGGAGACTTAAAGTATTGAAGACTAATTATAAAAGATGAGTTGTGGGATGGCATCCTACATGAAAGGAGGAAAAGGTCATTAAAAGACTGGGAAGAAAGAAAAAACTAAAATGGATGTAAGAAGAGACTGAAAATTTCACTCACACATCAAGAGGCTAAATGGTGAAGTAAAAGACGTGAATTGAAGATTTATAAGGGCAGCTTGTGAAGACAAAATCAAGTATGAAAACAAAATGGGCAAATAGCTGGAGTCTGAGAATAAAAAAGAACATACTTGGTATTTCTAAAGTTGAAAGAACGGAAAAATTCAAGCCTTAAGTTGCAGTACTGAAAGATTCTATGGGTAAAATATTGAATGATACAGGAAGCATCAAAAGAAGATGAAAGGAATACACTGTACCAAAAAGAATGGTTGATAGAGAACTATTTCAGGAGCTAACATAAGAACAAGAGCCAACAGTAATGAAGGAAGAAGGTCAAGATACACTAAAGGCATTGGTAAAAAATCAGGCCCCAGGAATCAATGGAATACCAACTGACATATTTAATAGATACAGCCCTGGATGTGATCATCAAACAATGCCAGGACATTTGGAAGATAGTTACCTAGCTAACTAACTGGAAGAGATCTATATTTGTTCCCATTTCCAAGAAAGGTGATTTAACAGAATGTGGAATTCATCAAACAATATTGATACCATGTGTAAGCAAAATCTAGTGGAAGATCATTCAAAAATGGTTAGAACAGTACACTTATAGAGAACTGTTAGAAGTTTAGGTTGGGTTTAGAAGAGTCCACAGCACCAGGGATATCATTGCTGAGGTTATATGGATATTGGCTGAAAGCAGAGAATACCAGAAGTATATCTATTTGTTTTTATTGATTATGCAAAGATCTTTGACTGCATGGACTGTAATAAACTATGATTAACATTGAGAAGAATGAGAATCCTACAACACTTAATTTATGCTCATACAAAATCTATATTTAGACCAAGAAGCTGTTGTCTGAACCAAGCAAGGGAACATTGCATGGTTTAAAATCAAGAAAGGAGTGTGTCCTTTCTTGCATCCTTTCTCCAAACCTATTCAATCTATATGCTGAGGAAATCATTTGAGAAGCTGGACTCTATGAAGAAGAACATGAAATCAGGATTGGAAGAAGACTCATCAACAACCTCTTGTAAGCAGATGATGCAACATTGCTTGTTGAAAGTGAGGAGAATTTGAAATGCTTGCTGCAGAAGATCAGAGACTAAAGCTTTATATATTAATTACATCAAGAAGACAAAAATTGTCACCACTGGGCCAATAGGCAACATCATGATAGATGGAGGAAAGATTGAAATTGTCAATGCACCAGTAGTCAAGAAGTTAAAGGATGTGTTGCAATTGGAAAATCTGCTCTCAGGGACCTCTCCAAAGTACTAAGGAGCAATGATATCAGTTTAAGGACTAAGGTTCATCTGCTTTAGGCCATGATCTTTTTCTATCACTAGTTATTCATCTGAGAGCTGGACAGTGAATAAGGGCAACAGAGGAAGAATCAATACTTTTGAGCTGTGGTGTTGGAGAGTACAGCTGACTATCCCATGGACTGTCAGAAAAACAGATTTGTCTTGGAGAAAGTACAGTTACAGTGCTCCTTGGAGGCAAAGATGACAAAGTTTTGTCTCAAATACTTTGGTCACTTTGTTAGGACAGGCCATTCCTTGGAGAGGGACAACATGCTTGGAAAAGTGGGAGGTCAGTGAAAGAGAAGAGGACCTTCCATGAGATGGATTGACACAGTAATGGCCGTAATGGTTTTGACTATGTCAGATCATGAAGGCTGCACAGGATTCAGATCTGTTATTTAAAGGCTTACTATGAGTTATACTTAACTTGATGACACATAACAACAACACACAGCAACCTGTAAAGATTTACAGCCCTTGAAACCTGATGGAGGATTTCCATGGGCCAGAATCCACTTGATTTGAGTAGGAAGTTTTCCTCTTTAAATTTTTATTTATGTTTTTTGTAGGAGTCCTTGGGTGGTGCAAAATGGTTAAGC